AGATGTTTCTATTTTTCAGGATTGGGCTCATTTTATTGGAACTAGCCTTAACCATTGTGGTTCTCCTTTTTATTTCTATGGAAGATAGGCATATCCTCCCTAAATATACATATCTGGTCCTTTTTCAGGATTTGTTATAGAATAAAAGAGATGGCCTCTATCAGTTTCTTGGGATAAATAGTTCAGTAGTTTGAATGCGAAGTTTTGATTGGGTTCGTATATTAAGTAATAAAACCATAGTGATTAATGAAAAAGCGACAGCAAATTGAAATTCATTTGATCTCAAAAACTGTGAAGATAAGACAGAAATTTTATTCATTGTACAATTAGTCAAGCTAAATAAACCCACTGTCACCCACAAGCCCAACCGCTGGACTGAAAACAATTCAGCCTTGCGCACATGCAGTCAGTTCAGAAAAAAAGAAAAGAAAATAGATTTTTCAAAAACGAAAAAAAACCCAAACTACTCAGCTACCGTTCTTGTTTTAATAAAAATCCCTTCGCAGACTAATTAAATACTAATGATTATATAGAAAATACCTCTTAATATTTGTAGCATAGGCACAGAAATCGAGAAAGTTTAGGTCTTTTTTAAATTCAGAGGCACATGCAAAAAGTCAGGGCAATTATCCACTTAGTTTCTGTGTAATGAGTTCGACAAGTTGTCCATTTGGTGTTGTCCAGACTATAAACAGTGAACTCGTCACACCACCGCCACCAGCCATTTGGAATCATTATAGATTTTATTTATTGCATACAGTCATTGCAACTTTTAAACAGATTTCATATATTTGCACCCCAAAGTGTGCCCGTCTCCTCTTTAAAATGTTGGAACAAAGGTTGACATAATGTGTAGATTTTGATTGAATGAACTCGGGTTTTGTATTTTAAAAATATTATAAATTAAAGGTTGGCATGTGTGGGTTTGTCTGCCAATCCATGGTGAACTCGCCACAGGTTTTTCACAAGTTCGAGTGTGTTCTATTATCTTTGTTCTTATCTTTGTTCGTTTACGGTTTGGAAATAGGTTTTGGGTGTGGTGAAAGTAAAATATTTCAATGGTGACATTGCCAATTTTTTGGCTGATAAGATGTGGTAATAAATACTTTATGATATTTTTTCTTTTTTTTCCGTTGTTTTTGCAATCATTTCCCACTTACCTTTTTGTCATTCTTTAAACTCTGGTCGTTAGAAAGTAGGGGAGAAAAACATGATTTTTTAAAATTTTCCAAAGTTTGTTGTTTTTCTTCCCTCTCTCCAGACCTCGATATCTCATGATTTGCGAATACAAAAAGTCCACGGAAATACTCAGTGGGTCAAGGCCTCGTTATTTCCTCTTTTCTTCTTATTTCACTTGGAATAAGAAATATTGTTTGTTAAAGTCAAAGCTCCATTAGTGACCAATGCATCACTACTTTAGTGAACTACTACGTCCGTTCCAAGGTCAGCCAGGCCTATTGCCAGTCTACGCTAGCGGGAATATCTCAACGAACATCCCCAAAGGCTGCCAGTTATGAAAATGATGCTTGTAAATTGTCCGCTCTTTGTCGTACATCGCAATTCATCACCTTTTGTATATGGAGACTTTTGTTTTCAATGTAGAAATTTGATATAGCATTTTTTAAAGAAAATAAAGTTGTCATGTTATCGTTTAATTTTTGTATGATGAATTGAACATATTTGTTCTGGTGTAACATATTGAAGCCTAACTCTGAACAACAGCGAACATATCGGGCTCTATCTATATACTGTGCTTAAGAATGTTCATTTCCGTTACTAACTTAATATACCCTGTTCATTGGAAACTTTAGACAAAACATGCAATTTCTTTAGTTTATTTGTTTAATCAGGCCAAATACATGGGGCTGTATGTCATTTAACACAATTTGTTTATACTTGTATTCAGCTTTTTGTATTCCACTACAGTAGGACTGAGAAGTGAAAACTATCATAACTTAATTACAATTATTGTTTTTGATAATTTAGAAACCAAACCAGAAACATGTATAAAACCACCTAAACAGACAGTGGTCGGCATGGGCTTGTGCTGGAATCCTTAGATAATGGCATTATATTAACGTTTTTCATTTTATAACCCTGGAAAGTGTTGACAACGGAGAGGAAACATTGGTCACGGAAAGGAAGTATTTTGACAGATGCTGGATTAAACAGTGCCAAATCAAAACACTTACCACGTTCAAAGCAGGATTTATGAACTCACTTATGAATCTAACTTCCCATAAAATAATTCATTCTTTGAAACTGTTTTTTCCCCCACTGTCTTGACAGATTTCATTTCCCCCCTTTTGAATTTTCTTTCACAACCTCCAATGCAAGCCACGTATAATTTATCACGAATAGCTCTCCCATCTCGCCAAGGCACAGTTTTTCAATCTAAACGTTTCACATTCCATAAACATACAGGTTCTGTTGTCAGCTGAGCACGTAAAATGAGAGAGACGTTGTGCCAACAACCATAACTTAATTCATAGCCTAATCAAAGAAGCTTTTTATTTGGATAAGGCCCTCCACATGTATGTCTAGTTTTCCGAATCTTTTGGAAGTCCAGCCCAGATTGATTTCAACTTATAAAATGACATAAATATCATCATTGGTGCAGAGCTCTCTGTGAAAAAAGCTTAGTATAGATTGTGCAGTGGGTCAGCCATGTGTCTTTTTTGTTTCTCCACCAGCACATCTCATAAGCCAACCCCAATATTGAACCAAGTACAGTAGTACGCGCGACAAGGCCACACCCTGGTAGTTGGGATCCAATAAGGCAAAGTTATTCTGGTTGTTCATCATCTAAAAACTATAGCAAAGGTTGATTTACAAGAACCATTTGTCATGACCTACCCCCCCCCCCAACATTCACAAAAATTATTAAATAAAATAAAATGAAATGTTAAAAAATATTTTAAAATAAACCAAAGTTTAAAAGAAGTAAAATCTAAAGATGCGTTTTAGACAAAAGTAGTATGGGTTTTTTTTAATGGCTGAAACTTTACAAGGCCCATCGCTTTGTCCATCTTGTAAGACCAATGAGTCCCAAGTCCACTCCTTGGCGCTCATAATATTATACACAGTCTTTAGGCCATTTCACAAAGGGGGGGGGGGGGGCATCAACCAGTTCTTATGCGCAGTAGAATTGTAAATGTGCTGATTCATCGTTGTCATGC